GCCACGCCCCCTTTATATATCAAAATATTTTTTACCCTGTGACCATCCCTGGAAGATATCCAGTGCGTGTGTAAAATTTGGTTACGATCGGCTTATTCGTTTAGGAGCCAAGTGTGTCTATAGGTACATACATAATTTGAATTTTATATATATAGATAAATACATATATTGTAATTGTTATGTTTTGACCTAATAACAATAGTGCATACTCGTAGCCAATATATAGACGACTCTGAAATTAGTTGTGACTAACTTTAGAATCTGCCGCTGTGGTGTAGTGGTAAGCAATGCCGCTTCCACTACGCAAGACCTGGGTTCCAGACCTGGTCAAAAAAACATCAAGGTGCGCGCCACAAATCGGAGGAGAAGCACGGCCAAACACTAACATATGTGTAAGCGTAAATTTATTACTATTATTATTCACTTTAGAGTCGACTTTATTTTGACCATGATTATTCCCCAATAATATTTATTTTGAAACATTTTATTGAGCTTTTAATGAAAACCAGTAAACTCGCTGAAGAAGTCTCATGAGGAGATGTGGTTATCTCCGAAATAGCTGCTATAACTTCTACCGAAGTAAATAATTGTTGTTTTTCCAAAAAAAAAAATCTTTTAAAATGGTCAACAAAATGTTTCAAAATAAATTTAATATGTTCATTTATGTATTATGTAGGTGCAACAAAATTCAAATGCACAAAGAACGATAAAGAGTAATATTAGATTCTGGTTCATTCATTAAGTTCTACATACTTATATTAGTAGTATTGACGTATAACATCGATTAAGAGTGAATAGTAAAGTGGTTTCTACAGTGCTCAGAGATTTAATGAGCGGCCAAAAACTGCACAACTTGTGAGGAAGATGACACATTTTTCGGTACTTGTATGCGGGAAATGCTAATAAGCGGGGTGGTTATAAACGAGCAATACTGTATTACTCAACTGGCGCCCACGCTTGCTTTTCTACTCAGTTAAACACATTTATATCAGTGTGTTCTTTATTTACTTGTCACACAGCACGTTTTGGCCCAAACAATGAGAATTTCACTGATTTCGATGTGTCTGGCACATCGATGTTAGTTAGAGTCACACAAGCGTGTATTTGTGTGCTGTATGCGCATTTGACTGAGTCTATTTATGTCCTATGTATCGTTTTTACATTAATCGCAGCTAAGACCGTTTTGATGTTCAGATGTCATTATCCTATGCGAAATTCACTGCGAGTGTCAAGGACCTTTCCAATGCTAACAAAAGTGTAACTAAAGTGCTGGAAAAGTGTATCGCAAGGGTATCAATGTCGAAATGATTGAGTAAATTTAGCCGGTCGTTTTGTATGTAAATTGTTTTCAACGTAATGGAAATATGATATTTTAAAATAGGTATGTATGTATGTATGTGGAAATT